AAAAAAAAAACATTTTTTTTTAAATTACAAAAAATTACAAAATTATAACCCTTCGCCGATTTGACCGTATAATTCAGCTACCACAGAGGCTCTACTATCTCGTGGAGACACAACAAAAAAAGCAACTGATGCAAAATCGCATTAAATGATGATGGTGATGACGATAAAGTAATCGAATAAAAAAAAGGAATTGGAAAATTAAATAAGAATAAAAAACAAACAAAAAAAAAACTAAAAAAAACTGTCCACCCACAGACATGGGAAAAGGTTTTTTTGGAACCATCAAACCGATGCGTCCCCAAACCACACCAGACTCCACTCCAACACTCACAACACAGAGAGGTAAGGGAGGGGAAACGGGAAGGGGAAAAGGAAAGGGAGGGAGACAAACAGAGAGATTCAGCGACCGTTTGGCGACATCGTCGATGCATAATGGCAATGGAGGTAGGCTCATTCAGCAACGGCTGTGCTTGTCGCGTTTTCGTAGGATGTGAGCGTATGTTCATCTATCTATCTATCTATCTATCTATCTGTCTACTCTATATACGTCCTGAGCGTGTGCATATCCATCCATTTGTCCATTACCTGAATGTGTGTTTATCTATCTATCTATCTATCTATTTATCTATCTATCGATCTATCTATTTATCTATCTATCGATCTATCTCTCTGATTCTCTACCTGAATGTGCGTTTATCTATCTATCTATCTATCTCTTTGCACGTAATGCGAATACACATTTCAGCTAGACATGTTATGTTTGAGCCAAGTATAACATGCATTCGCCATTCTTAGTCGACATTCTTGATATCAGCATGGCAACTTAACTCCAAATCTCCACTGTTCTGCACAGTATTGGTCATTACAAGAGTGCTAGATCAGTGTCGACAAACGATAAACGGACACTTTCAACTTTAGCTTCTGACCCCTAGGAAGGGTGAGTAAATGCTAAAACACAAACATACAAAAAAATTCTCACTGAATCTCTCTGTTCATGTCTACTACAGAGAATGGGTGATGGAATTATGGGGAGGAGGATTGGGGAGGAAGGGGGGAGGCAGGAGAGGGGGTAACGACAGGGGTTAACCACAGCACCCCATGACGCTGCGACATTCATCATGTTATACAAATCATAAACAATAAAAGGGATACCCACTGGAAGCAACTTTTGACGAAGGGGGGACCACAGCACAATACTACACACACACACACACACACACAGAGAGAGAG